TTTTATTAACTTTTTCATATTTGTATTATTTGTTACTCTCAATAATTTAGTATACCAATTATATTCTTTATTTCTTTTTATATAAATAGAATAATCATGTATTTTGGGTACAAGGGGAAATAATGGAGGAAAATGATAGAGAAATTGTAAGAAAGTTGTAAAAGAAATAAAGAGAGATTTGTAGGAGAATTAAAGGTGGAATTGATAAAATTAGGAGTGTAATAATGTTTTGATAATAAACAGTTCTTTACAAATCACCACAATTATATTTGTCTTCATACAATTATAATTGTTATGCCTTTTGTCTTATGATTGTTACAACCTCAAATATGTTCTCTATGAACTATAGCATACCACATTGGCCCTGTCCATCTAAAGTATCTCCCTGCTATCAATTCTCTATTCTATACTAGTCTTTGAGATTGGATTGGCATATGACAACATTTTATTTTACTTTTGCGAATCCATTTATTTTACTTATGTTCACAACTTATTTACTTCATATTTTGCAAATCCATTTACTTGACACATATATTACAGATCTATTGGCTCCCATATGTTTCATGAATCCACTTATTTACTTTACGTTTCGTAAACCTATTCACTTTTCATAAACTCATCTTTTTTAATATTTATGATAAATTTCATAAAAAAGTATACCTGATAATATAAAAAATATTTGTTTTTATTTAGAAAATTGATATTTGTACCTTTCATTTTTGATATTTACAGTATATTTCATGTGGCTGATATTTCAATCATATGATATAAAGTGGCTAGAAATCTTATATATAGTATGTAACAAAAATTTTTGCACAAATCTAAATATTCATTAGTTTACAATGGTTGCACAAAATCATGTGTCTAATATATTATTTAAAAGCTTAAAAGCACAAGTTTTTATTGGTAAAAAATTTAATAATTGATACATTCATCATTATTTAAAATAATAAGCTGACACTCTTTCATTGAATTTATCAAATTAATTATAATATCTTGTGAAATATTTTTCCACTCCCCCACTATAAAATACATCAATTTGGTTAAATTTTTTGACATTCTCTTCTCTATATTTTTTTTAATATATCACATAAATTTTTTATATAATTGATATCAGGGCTGTTGGATAGCCAATTGATGATCTGTAGCATGTTCTCTTTGATAAATTTCGTAGCAATATGGCCGATGTGCTAGAATCATTATTTTGTTGAAAGCGCCACCTATTTTCAAGCAGCCAGTATATCTCTGGAGAGTGTTTTCTAAGAATATCAACATAAAATGAACTATTCATAATATTCTGGAAACAAAAAAGACTTGTTTTATCATAATAACAAAACTCACTGTAGACAAAAACTTTTGTTCAGTTTTTTGGCATATAGCAAACTGGTCAGAATCCTTTATGTCAATATTGTATAGTATTTCTAAACAGTTGAAAAACTGTTTTATCAGTAAATAAAGTTTTTTCAATTGTCACTTAGATGATTCTGTACCCATTCTAATTCTTTTTTTTTGTGTATGCTTATAAGTAATGGAGTTGCAAGTGGCAAACTATTTTTATAATCCAACTACTTTAAATGCCTTAAGCTATCATATGAGAGACCTCAATATTGTTTTTTAATAATTTGATGGCTAATAAATGTGTCAATAGGATTGGATCTCTTTGTAAGTATTGTCCAACGACCCTAGAAACTTTTAGCAGAATTTTTTAAGATAACTGTTTTATTTTTTATAGACAACACTGCCAGTTTTTTTAGTTTGGCTATGTTGTAATAAATTATTCAGATTGGAATATTAATTCAACAGTGTATTTCATAAGTATTATATACACCTCATCCCACAAATGTTGAATGGAATAAGTATATATATTGATTTTCTTTTTCACATTTCTAAGACTTATTGTGTGAAAAAAAAAAAGAAAAGATTGGTACAAATAATGCAAAAAGTAGGTCAAACAGGTTATAATCAACACTCAAGTTGCACAAACCAACAAAAGTTTATTTAGGAAGTATGGCACAAGTTAATTTGAAATAATTAGCAGTACAAAGACTTTTGTTACATACTATATATAAGATTTCTAGCCACTTTATATCATGTGATTGAAATACCAGCCACATGAGATATAAATATTAAAAATGAGAGGTACGAATATTAATTCCTTTTATTTATAATATATAAAATATACAGTATATGAATTGATATCTATATACAGTCTTCTACAATAAATTATCAAAAATAATCATTATTATGTAATTTTATAAAAAAAAATTTTTTTTTGCCATTATTTAAAGTTTTTTTTATATTTATTAACTTAAAAAAAAAACAAAATAAAACAAAATGCCAATGTTTAAGTTTATTATTTAAAATTTTAAAGGTTCAATATTTCATATGTCCATCTTTGGCTTTGATTATCACATTAATACACTTGGGCAAACCTAAAATTAAATTGCGTAACATTTTGATATTAATTTTTGTCATTCATCTTATATGGTCTTTATCAATTCTTATTTTGATTTAGAGAAAAGAATTCTTTTTCGTATTTGGTGATCTAAAGAATACCATAAGTTCTTAATTAGATTTAGATCCGGGCTTCGCTCCATTCAATTTAAAAGCAGGATACCATGTGTCAACAACCATCAAAGAGTATATGAAAATGTGTGACATGGAGCTCCATCTTGTTGGAATATAGTGCTGGGTCAATTTCAAATCTATGATATCAAAAAATTAGCAAGAACATTAACATAAACATTGGAATTCATAGTTATATCTACTATAATTAAAGGCCCAACACTATTAACACTATTTCAATCGAAGCAACCCCAAAACATCACTGATTCTCCACTAAACTTTATTGTAAGTTGAATACAACCTTCTTTATATGCCTTATCATACTTTCTCCATACTTTTACCTGGCCATCCAATTCAAAAAGAGCAAATCTTGATTCGTCTGACCATACCACATGTTTCCATTCTTTATTTCAATTAATTTTTTCTTTATACCATTCCAACTGTTTTTTTTTTGTTTTTTGCTTAAAAGGGTTTTCTATGAGCAACATAACTATAAAAACATTCATCATGAAGATGATTTCTAATTGTATTAGCATGAAATGTGGTGTTAAGTCTTGTATTTAGTTGATTTGTTATGTTACCAAGAGAAGCAAACTGGTTTTCATGAATAATGTGCTGTAATACTTGACTATTGTGTTTAGAAAAATTTTTTGGCTGCCCTGAATGTTTTACAGGTGTTGAGGAACCAGTTTTCTTGTATCACTTGATTGTATCATGTACCATTGTAACAGGAATGCCCAGTTTGTCTGAAATTTTTTGTAATGTCGTGCTGCCAAGAAATGCACCAATAATTCGTTCGCGTTGCTTGGTTGTCAGTTCATTTCTACACATAGTGATAAGAAAAAAACAACAAAACATTTTGATTTGTTGTGATCATCATGTTTTTTATTTATAACAGGTAAGAAAACCAAAAAAAAAATACTGATGTGCACATTTTATAAAATTGATTTTCAGTAATTTATTGTATGGGACTGTATATGCGCCATTAAAATATCTGGGAATATGCGTATAATATAAATTTAGGGGATAATTTAGGGTCCCAAAATTTCCTGTCCGCCTTTAAAAAGAATTGCCCATTTATTACAGACTATGTAAAACTATCTATTTATATACCTTTTTGACGCGTCCACCCAGCTATAGCTATGACATCATTCTTCCATCATTTCCCTAATATTACACGACGCGTCTCAATTGTTTCTATTATTACCAAATAGCTTAATAATAAAAGATTTACACGATTTAATTATAAATGTCAATCATGGTATCATACATCTTTATTAATTTTAAGCGGTTCTTGCAATTTTATATTTCACTTAAAGTTGTTTTAATTTCACAAGTGTAGTAAGGATGCTGCATGGGGAATACTTCCCCGTAATATAGAATAGCAACTTAAAATTCTGCTATTACTCATATGGAAAAATAAAAAACCTCAATTATTTATTACAGGATGATTTATTTATTAAAATAGCATGTTAACGCGCAATAGCTCTTCAGATATTCATTTAGATTTTATTATAAAATTTAATTGTCGCATTTTTATCGATGGGCGGGGAACAAGCGGGGGACACCTGATGCATTAATCGTAAATCGGTTAGGTAAAGTTTACAAAAGAAGTTCTAGCTTACCTACCATCGTTATGCAACCACCATTCCCGGATTAGCAAAAGACTCGCCGATAACAATAATAGTATATCAGAATATATTTAAAAAAAATTTTTATTATTATCCTGAAATAGACTATACGGGTACCATTTACATTTCATGACATGATCATACATATGCAGTACTGTATATTGCTAACAACGGTATCCTTTAATTATACTGTATATATATATATATAATATTTAACTAATGCATCAAATGTTCGGTAGTATATAATAGAAGCTAATAAAGCATGTGCGATAGAATATAATAGTTTAATTATATACCTATAATTCCAAATATCCCAACTTTAGATTCATGACCTTTTCAACTATTTAACGATGGGTGCATGATATATTTGCAAAAAAAAGTATCTATAATGTATCCAATTTTTGTCCAATGATTAATTGTATGATCAATTGCATATTCTTTTACATACAATTCGCCATGATTTACATTTTCCTTCATTAATTCTCTGTTTATTTGAAATTCGTCCAAGATTCGTTTCCAAAAGTCTAAGGTATAAATTTACAATTAGCTATCATCATATAATATTTTTATAATAGTTAAAATTTACCTGATACTTCTAAATTTTTTAATCTTAAATTTATAATGCATTCTAATTCGACAATCAGACGATCCATAATCAAATTTTCATATCCTTTTTTATTTAATTCTTTTAAATGTTCGTTTCCTTCGTCTATTTTCTTTATTAAAAGTAATAACAAATAAAATAAATTGACTGTGACCTAAATAATAATAACATAAAAATTTTTTTTTTTCAGTTACCTCCTTCTAATTTGTAAAATTAAAGATTTCATTGGATTTTTGATGCCATTCGTCGATATTCTTCTTTTTTTCTAACGTTTGTTCATATATTTTTTTATCCGATTTATTTTCAATTTTCCGAAGTGACTCTTCAAGTTTCATAATTCCACTGTTAAGAAATTCGTGAAATTCACTAAATCGATCAGCAATTTTTTTGCAATTTTCGAAGGATTCGTCAATAAAATTTAAATGCGGATCAGTTAGATTATTGATTTTCCCTCGAGAGTCAAGATCATTGATTTTCCCTCGAGAGTCAAGATCATTCTTCCATCCTTTGACGAATTCATTGTGATTTTCAGAAAAATACGAAAGGATGTTAAACGCTAATAATAACCCTTCTTTGATTGATTCTCCTATCTTAGCCGAATAATCATTAATTTTTTTAAGATCATCTAATAAGTTGATTTCCATGAAATTGCCAGATATTTCTTTGAATAAAAATTCTACATTATTTATCGTAACCTCGGGTATCTCATAAAAATACTTCGGGTTTATACTAATCCTTGGGTCAAAATCACATCCATCCCATTGATTAATTGCAAACTCAAATGATTTGCCGTACGCACTATAATAGATAACCAAGTACGGTAAGAGGAATTTAGTGTTTCTATTTTTTTTTTTATATGTTTTAGTAAGATGTATTATATTATTACCGCCTAACAGTTACATGAATTAAAAAATTCATAATTAATTTTATTTGAAAAATAAAAAACCATGTTTACTTTCTAAAAAATATACCTACTTCCTGATTAATTGCAAATATTATGTTTAATGGCCAATCATTTAATAATTATAAGGAATAATTTAGCACTTACAAACTAATAAATTTAGAATTAAAAAATTTAGATTAAAGAAATGCTTATTCTCTGGTTAATTTTATAGTTTTAAATTATATACTTACGATCTGAAATTTTGAAAGTAAAAAAAAATTTATTGTTATACAATGATTCTAAACAAGTATTAAAAGTACGATGATCTAATACTTACTCCCTTTTACACATAAATCATTAAGTCACTTGTTAAACAAAATTTCGATAAATTGAGCCATGCGGTAAAAGTCATACTCACGGTCTGGTAATTAGATATATATAACATTAAGAAATTTTTAATGGAAATAAAATAAAAACTTATAATTCATCATCTTGATTAATACGCAAATGTATAATCAATATACATTATTAATGATAAATTAAAAAAAAATTGTATATTATACACTTTCTTTTAAGGAGTCAATTCAGAAGTTTAGTAATATTCAATTATTTCAAGCATTAATTCGTACTTACTGCCTAATAATTTTTGAGATAAAATAAATCAATAAGTATTTGTGCAAATATTAAAACGCGAAACATTAAGTAGTAAATAAATGACCAATATACTTACAAACTTTTTATTAATATAAGATTAGTTTTATAATTAATTCCGATATCTAAATGCCATGAGAATCAATTAGATACCTACCGCATGACAATTTTAAACGAATAATTTAAACTTCATACTCACAAGTTATTAATAAAATGTGCTTTAAATTCTATTGATGCATTAATATTTAGATAAACTTTATACTTACACACTGATACTAGATCAAATATATTATGATATATGTTAGAAGTTTTATTGTATTTAAATGACCTTAGTGTTTAATTTAAATAAACCTAGCATCTATCTAATAATCTGAATGAAAATTAAATAAATTGTTTAAATATGATGCAAAAATAAATTTGTACTCACTGCCTAATTATTTGACGCAAATATGTTAAATGATATTTGTAGATATTTATAGTAGACAAATCCTATACTCACTCCCTATTAATTAATACATAATAGAAGTATTAATAAATATTAATATACTTTTAATAAAATATGCGAATGAACCTTTATTCACTCACTCTCTATTATTCAACATGAAAATCAATTAGCAATAAGTATCTGAAAATGTTTTTATCGATAGTCAAATGAAGTTCATAATTACAATCTATGATAAAAACAAAACAAATTAAGGATGTTGATAGTTATATAATACAAAATTTAAATGAGTTTAGACTTACTTCCTTTAATTTTAAAAAAGAATCAATACAATACTCATGCATATTCTTAAATAATGACTGATAAATTTTCTACTCACTCACTGTTAATTTAATGAAAAATAAATTACAATAACATTCTTATTTCAAATAAAAAAACTTCCTTCATACTTACCAACTATAATTCGACAAAGTAAATTAACAATTAAAATGAGCATAATTTTAAAGATTATTAAATAAACAAACTATATACTTACAGCCTAATAATCCATCACAAAAATAAGCTTATTATTTATTAAAATACTTATTTTAGTATTCCTTTATTACTTGCCGACTAATTATTAAACGCGAGAAAAAGAAAGAATTAATTAATAAAAAATTTTTATAAAAATATATATAATATTTAAGCAAACTTATACCTTCTGTTAATTAATATTGAAATTATTGATATTTGATAATATTTAAATTCTACTTTTATATAAACCTCATACTTACAGTCTAATAATCAATAGAATAGGTTAAAAATTAAATTATGATAACATTTAACATATAACGTTTAAATAATTCTATACTTACTCACTGTTAATTTAAATACGAAAAAATTTAAATAACAAATAACACATATCGAAAAAAACCCAAAAAAATTTATACTTACTCTCTAATATTTTAACATGCAATTAATAAAATCAATATATTAAACTTTGAATCTAAATTACTTATGATTTATACTTACGTCCTAATATTTTTTATCAACAAATAAACGAATTACAGTATTTAGCAATATTTCTAGATACTCAAATGTATTTAATAATTTAACTTACTCCCTGTAATTTAATATAAGAATAAATAAACATTGCCATTAATATAAATTCTGAAGAATGATATGGATTTATACTTGCAATCTAATGAATTAATTTGAAATAATACGTTATCTAATAATAATTACAGGCACTTTAATAAGTCTTATACTCACTTCCTAATAGTTTAACAAAACATATCATCAATAACATTAGCAGATATTATTATATATTAATTTAAAAAGATTTTTGCTTACTTCCTATTAATTGATGAATAATTAAATAATATCCGTTTTGTCTAATTTTGGAATTTTTAATACTCACGTCGCGCTAAATTAATACAAAATGATTTAATAATATATATAGAATTATAATAATTAAATCAATCATACTTACATTCTAACAGATTAACATAAATGCTCAACAATTTCACAAATTTTTCATAAATTTGTTAAATAACACATAAGTATAAACTTACATTCTATTAATACGAAAATAGGTATTAATGGTATTTTAAAATTAACAATAAAATATTATTTTACACTCACGCCCTAATGAATAAAAATAAATTAATTATCAAACAAAAAAATAACATTACAACATGGTATTTACATATACTTACAGCCTAAAAATTAGACACGAAATTTAATTTTAATATAATGTAATATTAGTGCAATAGTAATAATAAATAAACTTTATACTCACACTCTTTTAATAATAAAATAAATTAATATGATATTTATATGTAAACTCAATTGTAATAGTTATATAGGAATTAAGCATACACTCTATTGATTTAATACAATAAATAATTTAATATTATTTTTTAACTCAAAATAGAATTTTTAAATAAGTCATATACTTACGATCTAATAATTATTGGAAATAATTAATTTTGACAATTTAAAGATACTTAACACATATTTTTTAAAAAGATATACTTACAATCTAATGCATGTCATAAAAATAAAGCGAAAGTTAATAACGTACAAAAAATTTTTATTATTTTAATTTAGTGTATTTAATACTTACGGCCTATTAATTTTAATGTAGAAAATCAACTTAAGTATCAATAAATAATTAATAGTTTACTGTTATAAATATTTATTCTATAATCAAGAAAACTTTATACTTACACCCTGTCAATTTAACATAAAAACAATAAATATTTGACATTATTCACATTAATTCTTATAATTAAGAAAACTTTATACTTACTTCCTGTTAATTTAACACAAAAATGGTTAAGAGTTAAATATATTCATACCATTATAATAATTAAGCAAAATTTATACTTACCAACTGTTAATTTAACACAAAAATAATTAATAGTTAAATATCATTCATATCAATCATTATAATTAAGCAAACCTTATACTTACAGACTGTTAATTTAACACAAAAAACATCAAGAGTTAAATATTATTCATATCAATTATTATAATCAGGCAAACTTTTTACTTACTCCCTGTTAATTTAACACAAAAATAATTAAGAGTTAAATATTATTTATATCGATTATTATAATTAAGCAAACTTGTACTGTACTTACGCCCTGTTAATTTAACACAAAAATAATTAAGAGTTAAATATTATTTATATTGATTATTATAATTAAGCAAACTTTATGCTTACCTCCTGTTTATTTAACACAAAATAATTAAGAGTTAAATATTATTCATACCGATTATTATAATTAAGCAAACTTTTTACTTACTCTCTGTTAATTTAACACAAAAATAATTAAGAGTTAAATATTATTCGAACCGATTATTATAATTAAACAAACTTTATACTTACGCCCTGTTAATTTAACACAAAAATAATAAAGAGTTAAATGTTATTTGTATCAATTATTACAATTAGCTAAACTTTATTCTTACTTCCTTTTAATTGAACATAAAAACAATTAAGAGTTAAATATTATTTATATTAATTATTAAAACTAGCAAACTTTATACTTACGCCCTGTTAAATTAACATAAAAATAATTAGAATTAAATATTATGCATATCCATTATTATATTTAAGCAATATTTATGCTTACTTCCTGTTTATTTAACACAAAATAATTAAGAGTTTAATATTATTCATACTAATTATTATAATTAAGCAAGCTTTATACTTACTCCCTGTTAATTTAACACAAAAATAAACAAGAGTTAAATATTATTCACATTAATTATTATAATTAAGCAAACTTTATACTTACCTCCTGTTAATTTAACATAAAAATAATTAAGAATTAAATATTATTTATACCAATTAATTTCTATAATTAAGCAATATATATACTCACGCCCTGGTATTTAGCACAAAAATAAAATATATTAATATTAAATATTGTATAACTGACACAATATTAAACTTCATGCTTACTCTCTGTTGATTTACGCGAAAATATCGTTAGTTTTTAATAATAATATATATATTTATATCGGCTTTGTATTTACATCCTGTTAATACAAAAAAATTTAATCATTTAACATTATTCGTTAATGAGTTATCAATATTTAAAAAATTTCAATAGATAATAGTTTAAATAATTTAATTAAAAATATTAAGTAGAAATTACACTTACAGGCTTATATTAAAACAAAAACAAATCAAAATCAGTGATTCCAGATGACTTTAATGTGAAATATAAATAGAATTATAATCACTTCCTATTGATTTACGCAAATAAATTGTTAGTAATATTTGGTCATTTAATATATTAGTTCAATAAAATACTATACTTGCTTTCTTTTTAAAAAAAAAAAATTAAATCAATAAATAGTTAAACATAATACGTAAATTTAATACGATTGCTGTAATTAATTACACTTACTCACTATTGATTTAACATAAAAGTTAGCATATATGTG